CAATACCAACATACCTACATTCCAACCATCCATTGCATACATACAGACGCGCATACATACATACACATATACATACACATACGTACATCCATTACATACAGACATACATACACTACATAGGCTACATGCATCTGTATACACAAAAAGACATGCGCATGCATACATACATTTCCCAATCAGAGCTTGCCTCTGTAGGGGTCCCAGCGGATTCATATGATTAGATGAGGTGGGGCGCCGATTTGCTGGCCAGTGGCCAGGTGCCCGGGTGCCCGGGGGTGCCCGTGGGTGCCCGGTGCCCCAAGATTTCGGTGGCCGGTGGCCGGGTGCCCGGGGCTGCCCGTGGGTGCCCGGTGCCCCAAGATTTCGGTGGCCGGTGGCCGGGTGCCCGGGTGCCCGTGGGTGCCCGGGTGCCCGGGTGCTCGGGGGTGCCCGGAGGTGCCCAGGGGTACCCGGGTACTTTATAGCCATGTAGCCCTATAGCCTTATAGCTCTATAGCCCAATCGCCCACTAGCACATATAGCCCACATGGTCTTATAGCCCAATATCCCTGTAGCCCTATAGCACTATAGTCCTATAGCCCCTATAGCCCCATAGCCCAATACAACCATAGCCATATAGCCCTATAGCCCCATAGCCCTATAGACCTGTAGTCCTATATCCCCATAGCCCCAACAAAAACCTGATTGGGTTCTTCTCTGGTATCATACGCACATACAAACATATATACATACACGCGCACGGACTTACAACAAACATCCACACAAACATGCGTTACATACAAACATTTATACATACATGAAACCATGCATGCATGCATCCGTACATACATGCATGCATGCAAACATACATTCATACATATATACATACAGACATTACATCACAATACATTGCAATAACATCCCCTACATTACGTTACATCACATTGTAGACATACACACAAACATCCACTACATTACATACATACATACATACATACAAACATACATACATACATGAATACACCCATGCGTAAATACATGTACATACATACATTACACCATTACATACATACATTTCATACATAAGTACATACATACATACAATACATACCCACCTACACACAAACATTACACACATACGTACAATACATACACACATACATACATAAGTACCCACGCATGCATAAACACACACCTTCATTTATACGTCATACACATGCATTACAGACATACACACACTACACACCAACATTCATCACATACACTACATGACATACACACATTACATACATTGCATACGTTGCATACATACATTAATACATACAGACTTACATTGCATTCCCGTCATGACAATGCACATGCATACATACATACATACATACATACACACATACATACATCCGTACATTACCTACATCCATACATGACATATATACATACAGTACATACAGACCTACGTTACAAACATGGCATGCACACCTACTTTATAAACATACCTTACAAACATACATTCATACACACGTTACATGCATTCATACTCACATGTATAGACACACACATACACACATACCTCACATGCACTGCAGACATACAACCATACATACATAAATACACACATACGTGCACACATACACACACATATTACATATATACAAACACATACATACATACATGGCCATGCATACATTCACACATACATAAACAAACACATGCATACATCCACACATGCATGTATATATATATATGTACATGCATACACACATGCATGTAGCCATACATATATACATTACGTACATGCACACATTCACGCATGCATGCATACACACAGTACACGCATTACATACATACATCCCTACATGCATGCATACATTACATACATACATATATTCAGACATGCATACACGCATGCATACATGCATGCACACACATACATACACACATGCATACATACAAACATGCATGCATGTATGCATTCATGCATGTATACACATACGCACCCACATACGGCCTGTGTGAGCACAAGACTCCTACCACTGCTTCACTAAAGGCTCTGCTCAGAAGAACATGCATCCTGTTCCGCCCTGGCTAGCAGGGCAACTGCTAGCGGATACTGAGCACGCTGCTCATGCGGATCTGGCTCGGTCACCCGTATACCAATGCATTACAGACATACATACATACGTACATACACACATACGTCCATACGTACGCATACATACATACATACATACACCCACGTACACACAATCATGCATACAAACATACATGCATCGGTACATATGTACTTAAATACATGCAAGCAAACATCCGTACATGCAGAAAGACAGACATCCATACATGCATGCACACATACATATAGACATCCATGCATGCATACTTCCATACGTGCATACATGCACACATGCCGACACACATGTACATATATGCATGCATATACATACATACATACATGCATACGTACGTACATACGCATACACATACATATACATACACACATACCTATACACGTACAGACAGACAGACCGACAGAAAGACAGGCATACACACAGACAGACAAACAGTCTGACACACTGGCATACCTATATACATATACACACTTCCACATGTAGGCATGCACGCATGCATGCATACATACGCACACATACATGTGTGTATATATGTGTATCTATATATACATATATATATGTACAACTATGAGAAGGCCCCGCGGAGGCGTGCAACATAATTCCCAACGAGCTGGCCGTGGAGAGCGGCTCCCGTCGAGGAATGGCGACGGTCTGCGAGAAGGCGGAGGAGGAGGAGGAGGAGGAGGAGGAGGAGGAGGGGGAGGAGGAGGAGGGGGAGGAGGACAAGTTAGGTGCGCTCGCGTCAACATCTGACATCCTACCCCTCCCTCCCATCCCTTACCATGGCGCTGATTTTCTCTATCCGCGGACGCGTGTCGTAGCGGACCTGTGGCTCCGCGCGCGTGTGCGTAGTGGGTGGTGGTGCGCGTGCGTGCGTGCGTGTGTGCGTGGTTGTGGTTGTTGTGGTGGTGGTGTGTATGTGTGTGTGTGTGTGCGTGTGTGCGCGTGTGCTGTGGTGTGACGTGGCGGGGCGTCTTGGTGGTTTGGTGGTGGGCCAGGTGCGTACGTGCGTGATGGCGGTGGTGGTGGTGGTGGCGGTGGTGGTGTGTGTGCGTGTCTGTGTGTGTGCGTGTGTGTGTGTGCGCGTGTATGTGTGTGTGTGTGCGTGCGTGCGTGCGTGTGTGTCTGTGTGTGCGCGCGTGTGATGTGGTGTGACGCGGTGTAGCGTGGTGGTGGTGGGTGGGATAGTGCGGTGGTGGTGGCGGTGCGCGGTGGTGGTGCGCGTGCGTGCGTGCGTGCGTTGGTGGGTGGAAGTGGCGGTGGCGGTGGGTGTGCGTGCGGCGGGGCGGGGCGTGGTGCGGCGCGGTGGTGGCGGGCGGATGGGCGCGCGAGGAAGAGGCCCGCGCTGGGGCGAGAACGCCATCCTGAACGACTGAGGCAAAACACCGATCCGAAAATGAGGCCCACGCTGCAGCCGGAGCACGATTCGGAACGATTCGGGAGCAGAAATGAGGCCGGCGCCTCAGCGAGAGCAACATTTTGAAAAAAACGCATGCGAAAACCCAACTCCCGGGAATCCTGTGTGTAAAAAAACAATACGCGGGGGGGGGTCGAGTATTCCCAGCACGCCATCAGGGGAAGAGGGAGAGTAGTATTCATATTGAGTAATTGTGGAGGAGGAGGAGGAGGAGGAGGAGGAGGGAGGGAGGGGGAAGAGAACGAGCTGGACGACGACGAAGACGACGATGAGGACGCGCAGAATCATGGCGAGGAGCGAGGAGTAATAGAGAGGAGAAGGAGGGGATGAAGCAGGGAGGGAGACGAGGAAAAGGAAAGAACGAAGAGGCGGGAGGACGACGAGGAGGAAGCCCGAGGTGCCGCAGTCCAAAACACAACTGGTTTGTGCCTACAACTTCCTCCTACCCGCCCTTCGGCTCGGTGCGCTGTTCCCCCAGCAGATCAGGCCAGGACCCCAGCAGCCGCGGAAAGCGACCGCAACGACCAGAAAGCCCCCCTCACATATCGGGCAACACACACACAAACACAAACACACACACAAACACATATACACACACACACTCCAAAGATGGCCCCTCGAACGGCCTGGATGGTCCAAGATTACCACCAAGCCAGCCCGAGATCGCCTGCAGACGGCCCAAAAGGTCGAGAAGACGGCAACGACGGTCCACTGTGGTTCCCCAAAGCTAAGAAGACGGCAACATAATGCCCCAAGATGACCACCAAGAGGCAACACTAATCAAAACCGTCAAGCTGCTCGAGATGACGTCGTGCTCGTCCTCTCGGGTACTCGGAACGACGAAGACGCCCAAGATACCGCCCAGAGGGCTCAAACATGGTCCCAATGAAGTGGTGAGACTGCCCATGAGGCCACTATCGCCCAAGAGGGACCCAAGAGGGCCTCAAGACGTCCCAAGGGTACCACTGGAAAAGCTCAAGATGGCCCAGCAGAGCCGTAAGACAGCCTAAAAGGGTACCAAGAAGCAAGAGGCTCCAGGATGGCCCCAAAGATCCCCAAGACGGCTTCGAGGGGTCTCCGACAGCCTATGAGCACCCAAGTGTGGGCCAAACACAACTGCTCTGAGCCAGCATCGGGCCGCATCGGATCGCCGGAAGATCTAAATCGGCTCGGATCGAGCTGGGTGAGCTCGACATCGGACCTGATCGATCGAACCGAGATGGGCCTCTGGAGAGGGGTAAGGAGGAGAAGGAGGAAGAAGAAGGAGGGAGGGGGAGGAGGAAGGAGGGGGAGGAGGAGGAGGAGCGAGGGAGGCGCTCCCAACGCCCATGGCGCTCCAAGGAGTGCAGGGAGCTTCAGGACGTCGGCACTTTTTGCTCGGGCGCCAAAACGAGCAATCGCTACAGACAGCACCTATGCTCGAGTCTCCCCTTCGCTGGCCAGACTTCACTGCAAAGGATCTACCTGCCCGATACGGCTCACTTCTCCTCCTCGTCGACGCGATTTTTCGTCGCCTCCTCGAGCTTCTTCAACTCATCCTCGTCGATGCCACCCATGTGGGATTGCTCGCTCTCGCTATCAGACGACGATCCACTTCCCTCCTGTTCCTCCTCCTTTTTGTCGTCGTCCCCGACGACTGTTGGCATCTGCACCACGTTGAACGTCCCCCCATGCGACAAGATGCACTCCTTTACCAACTCGAAGGACTCCTCAATCGTCTTCATGCCCAAAGCCTTCTCCTTGCACGTGCACGTGACAACGAAAACTGGGTGGGCGATCAGATTGATCTTCAGCTCGACGTCCTCCTTCTGCACTTCCAGCCCTTTGGTCAACGCCTCCTTGACAGCGTCAATGCCAGCATACTCAAGGCAGGAACATTCGATTTTGGCTCGCAAACGCAACTGCTGCTGAATCAGCCGTCGTCGCAGATTTGTCTCGATGTCCTCCTTGAGCTTCTCTGCAATGTCAGTGAGATCTCGACCAGGCTGGCTGAAGTCAATTTCGTCCCAGAGATTGATCTCCTCGTTTATGTGCTTGCGGAACGCCTCGTAGGCGTCCTGGTACCTCTTGTACAACGGCCAAGCGATCTTATTGCACAACTCCTCAACTTCTACATCATTTGTGGAAGCCACGTGCCGCATGATACCGTGCACGGCCTTGGCCCTGGCGAAAGACTCCTCCTTGGCCGTGGCATCTTCAGGCTCTACGCGCTTCTTGGAGAGGTCGACATAACCCTTATCCTTATCTAAACGGACAATCATGCAAATCTCCGTGCGGCCGACGCGCAAGAGCTTCGACACAGACCGGATCCGCCTTTTGGACAACTCGCTCAGCAGCATCATGCCCTCTCTGCCGTCGTACTCGAGGAGGCTGACGTACGCGCCCATGTCCACGATGCGCTTCACCTGAACCACGACGATTTCCTCGAGCTCTGGGAAGTCAGCCTCATAAAATCTGCCATCAAGGCCGCTCGACATGGGTCCCTGGAGTAAGAGCTCGAAGCGCCACTTGCAGAACGATGGATGGCTGGAACCGGGACAGCTTTAGTCCCCTTCCTTCTTCCTGCTCCCGCTCCTCCTGCCCCCGACGCATCCCCTTCCTCCGTCTCGCGTTCTCGGTGTCCCCCGTGGGCTGGCCTCGCGCAATTATCTGATCGGAACAGAGCGCCACGAGGTGTGGGGGGGGGGGGCAACGCTTAGGTCGGGCGTGTCCCGCTGCAGGCGGATTTTGGACGAAAAATCGAAAATACAAAATTATCCCAGTGCGACCCTACCTAAGAGTTGGAGCCCCTAGGAAAGCAGCATGAGTAGTAACAGTATAGCTAAGCTAAAGCTAAGCTAAAGCTATGCTAACGCTAAGCCCAAGCTAAGCTAAAGCTAAGCTAAAGCTAAGCAAGCTAAGCTGAAGCTGAGCTACATCTAAACTAAAGCTAAGCTGAAACTGAGCTACATCTAAGCTGAATCTAAGCTAAAGCTAAGCTAAAGCTAAGCTGAAGCTAAGCTGAAGCTAAGCTAAAGCTAAAGCTAAGCTAAAACTAAGCTGAAGCTAAGCTAACGCTAAGCTAAGTCTAAGCTAAAGCTAAGCTAAAGCTGAGCTAAAGCTAAGCTAAATATAAGCTACATCTAAGCTAAAGCTAAGCTAAAACTAAGCTGAAGCTAAAGCTAAAGCCAAGCTAACGCTAAGCTAAAGCTAAGCTAAGCTAAAGCTAAAGCTAAAGCTAAAACTCCCAGGGGACTGGGGGAACCGCGGGGCGGGGACTGGGGGAACCGCCCGGGGCGCGTTCCACTGCCCGGCCCCTTACGCTAAGAGAGTAAGAACCCTTCTAGGCAGAGCCTAGGTAGGGAAAAAAAGAAAAAATATCAAACATTGCCAAACCATACTCAAAAAAAAGTCCCCCTGTAGAGGGACAGGCCAGATTTAAGACAACGCCACCCCGACACGTGAGATGCCAGAACTCTGTGCCAGGCGTGATGCGTACGTTGCAGCCGCGCTGTGCGCAGAGAAGCTCAGATCGGCAGAAGTGTGGCACCAAGCCGTCTACCTTCCGATGTCCGCTCGCGGTGCTCTTGCGAGGTCGGGCCAGAAAAGAAACACCCACTCTGCCTAACTTGCACTCCTGAGTGCACGTTACTACTGCAATCATGGGCACAATGCAAGTTCCTTGTCTGCCATGCTACAAGACGCGAGAAGCAAGCACTGCATAGCTGCAGTCATCGAGTTACCAGAAGGAACGCCGCAGAAGGAATGAATGGGGCTATTCTGGCCACGGCGAACCTCGGCCCCGAATAGGTCCCCGACCAAGACCTAGGGAACGGTTTTTACACCAAAGCCCCTCCCGAGCCCAACATGGTCATAACGTCATCATCTTGGCTGTACAGTCGGGGTTGATTGGATCGGGGGGGCGCGAAGGTGGGGTTTGGGCAAAGATGGGGTTGGAGGGAAAATCGCTCCGAATGGCCCCTGGAAGGGAACGCGTTAAACGGGAGCATCCAGCTGGGCCCGTTCCCCAGCCCCAACCGTAGGATAACCCTCCCTCTACGAACCCCCGACTGGAGAGGACACGCGAGAGGGCACAAGACCCTTCCGGGGGTCACAATGCCATCGGATCGCAGAACGCACGGGTTGCGAGAAACAGGACACGAGGCTACCTCTGATTTGGCAGGGTCGACCTACCAATCAACCTCGACTGGATTTCGTTCTGCTGCCAAGCCCAAATCTGAATTGCCAGACACATGAGACCGCCACAATGCCGGCGGGCGCTCGCCGTGATGAAAGAGAGCACCTGCTGTGCCCGCTACCGCGTCGGCAGTGCTCGGCGTGCGTCGGGCACTTTGGAAGCAGCAGTCACAGCGCACAGCCCACCCGACGCGTCGGGCCCGACGTGGGCCCACGTGCCGGACGGGGCCCCTGATGCGCTCGCTTGCCAGGCTGGGAGCGGTGCCCAAAACAGAGGTCCGAGCTCCTCCTCCTGCTCCTCCTCCACCTCCCTCCCTCCCTCCCTCCCTCCCTCCCTCCTCCCTCCCTCCCTCCCTCCCTCCCTTCTCCTCCTCCTCCTCCTCCTCCTCCTCCTCCTCCTCCTAAGGGGATGCCGTGGCACATACACCCCAGGAGGCGCCCCCCCGCCCCCTCAAGACTCCCCACCTCCCACGGGCGACGCAGCCCCAGCTTCGCTCCAGCTCCAGCCTCAGCCCCAGCACCAACCCCAGCTCAGCCTCGCATCATCTCGACATGCCATCATTTTCAGAGTCTGCCAGTTGTCCGGATGGGACGTCCTGGACTGCTCAGCTCAGACCTCGCAGCTGAGACCTCCGAGTCTAGATTCATCAAATTGCATACCCCAAGTTTCGCATCGCATCTCCAGGTTCCAAGTCATAACGCTGCACAACTTTGCTTGCGAAACACACACTGCGTAGAAACAACACGTCTTGACTCGAATGTGCTGTCCTTCTACGCTTCCACGTGTGTGGCTACTGACTGGCAACAGCAAACTAGAGAAGAACTAGTGGTGACATGATCCCTGGGGGGGGGGCATGTTCCATGTTCTTATCGGTCTCGCCACTTCGGCTGTGAACGCGTCAAGCCGCCACATAGGGAGCCGACAGAAACAGAACACACGCCTGAGGGCCCCCAAGAGGCGCCCAAGACGGCCCCGAGAGGCGCACATAAGGGGGACAATGATAGAGGGCAGAAAATCCACCCTGATAATAGCCACCCCGACACGCGAAGCCGTTGAGAAAACGCACCCAAAGAAGGAATCAAACAAGGCAGGGCTGTTTAGTAAACGCCCAGGGCCGTTTAGTAAATACCAATTGTCCGGTATGGGTGGCTGTTCTTCCCTTGAAATGAGGGGTTCTCAAGGACATCGTGGGAATCCACCCTCTCCTCTTCTTCGAAATGGCATCACGAGCGCCCGGAGAAAGCCCCGGTATTCCGTCGGTATTCCGTCGGTTTTTTTGGATACCCATTAGCTTTTTTAAATATCCTCTGGAGGCATGACGCTTCTTTGCGCTGCGCCGCGCTCAAGTCAAGGGATGACGAGTTCATAGGCATAAATCCTCATCACTTCATCAATCTCTTCGGTCGAGGCGAAGGGAAAAAGGTAGTATGTACTCGGGATATAGGCGGCGGAGAACGACACACAGCGTGAACAGCCCCCAAGCTTACAAGCTTGCAAGCTGGTCGGCTCACGGTGGTTCAAAAAAAGGGGCTCGGAGCGCAAAATTGGTGCTCAAAGGGTCCCGAGAGGTCCTTCCCCAGAATGGCGATCGGACCGCACAGGACACCCCTTAAGAGGGCCCCAAGGCAGCCCAAGGGCCTCTCTGAAGCGGCACATTGTGCGCACAGAAACGCAGACACTCACACACGAACACACACAGACACACACACGCACACACACACACGCACACACGCACGCACACACACACAAACACACACACACACACACACGCACGCACGCACGCACGCACGCACGCGCGCGCACGCGCGCACGCGCGCACGCACACAAGCACACACACACACACGCCACACACACACACACGCCACACACCACACACACACACACGCACGACACAGACACAGACAGACGCAGACACAGACAGACACACACACACACACACGCACACACACACACACACACGCGCACGCACGCACGCACGCACGCACGCACGCGCGCACACACATAAGCCAACACACACACACACACACACACGCCACACACAGATGCACGCACACACACACACACACACACACACAGACACACACACACACACACGCACACACACACACACGCCACACACACACACACACGCGCACACACACACACGCCACACACACACACACACGCACACAGTCACACACTCACTCACACACCCACGCACACGGGGAGACTGGATCACAACGGACAGAGTGGTTAGAACAGGAACATCGCGTCCGCGTGGGCCTGCGCCAAAGGTGTCTGCAGCCAGGGCGCACCATCCCCAAACACGCGCGCACGAATCTGCACCTGGGACGGTCCTCTCGGACGCACCAACATGGTCCTGACCTGGGGGGCGAACCGTCCTTGACCAGGCACGCACAGAATGCGGATGTGGTATCTAGAGCCAAATCCCGAGCCGAGCGCTTATCGCTCTCAAAATCCCACCAGCCCTCTGAGAGTAGGTGACTTCTAAAGTTAAGGATATCTTTATTTCCTCTTCCAACGACTCTCTTCCCTTCAGTGAAGGGTACCCTCCCCCTCCGCATCTGGGTCTGGACGGGGGGGTCGCGAGTCATCAGAGGGCCCTTTTTCGCTATCCGATGCTCCAAGATGGCCTCCAAGAGGGCTCCAGATAGCGCGAGATCGCTCAAGATGACCTCCACCATGCCTCCAAGACGCCGCAAGAGGGCCACAAGACGGTTCCAGGTGCCCTCACAGACCCCTCAGGACCTCCCCGAGAAGCCAAATGCTTTCTCGCCTTTTCGCTGTCGATGAGTTTGATGCGTCAAGGAGGCCCCAAGATGGCCCACGAGAGCTCCAAGAGGGGCCCAAGATGCCGCAAAGGCCCCAAGACCGCCCAAGAGCGCCCCAAGAGTGGCCAAGAGCGTCCCAATACGCTATTATGATGGCCCAGAATGGGGGACTAAACATTTAGTACACCCCTCTTTTCAACGACATCCTCCACGACAGCCCCAAGGGACCTCTAGGGCTCCCAAGAGGCCCCCCAAGAGAGCCCCAAGGGAGCTCCAAGAGGGCCCCAAGAGGGCCCCAACAACTCCCCTCGCCCCCGCGCGGCCCCCAGAGATCGCCCAAACAGGCCAAGAGGCATTCCAAAGCT